CACTTTACGATAGATGACAGATGCCCCTTGGTCTGTAACACAATGATTAATGACATAAAGACGTAAAGATTACTAGGATAGAAGACAAAATAAAGAGGTTAAGTTGTAGGTACATCCATATACTTGTAGTTCACTTAAATTTTGTCTTGTCTCTGTAAGACAAAAGTGAAAGAACAGGACGACTGAAAAGAAATCGTATTCTAGATCTACCTTATAGAATTTGAAGAAATTTTAGAAATTTTGTATATAAATTATATTAAGATAATATAGATATGTAGTTATAAGATATTGGATGAGTATAAGTATAGCCTAAGAATTGTTTTATATGTAATTAACATGAATGTTTTATAAATTGGTTATAGGACAGTGATTAAGTGACTAGATCTGAAATGCAACAGTTAATTTGAAGTTAATTGTTACTGTTGCGTAGTATGTGTTCATTAAATTTGGTTGTTTTAAAATGATTATCTATTATCTTAATGATTATCTATCTATCTAGATAAAATTGCATAAAAAAAAATATCAAGTATTTGTGAAGTAATAGTTTTACAAAATTATTTGAAATGATAGTTATGAAAAAAGATTTAAACAAATTTGATGATGATGATCAAGAATCATCATTATCATTTGGTTATCTCAGTGTTTATTCGTCTGTATAGATATTATTTATGTACGACCTGAAATCTTCATCAAAGTTTTACAAGTAACTTCGCAACATAATGCGTCCATTAACCGCAACACAAATAGATAACAATAATATAAGTGATCGATAGTGAAATTAATTAAGAATAAGCCTCAAAGTTTTCTTTTGTATAAATTATATATTGCTTCAGCTGCCACAGTTAATTATTAAATATCAATATCATTCATAAAAATCAATTATTCTGACTTAATCTCGTTTAATAGCAAACAAACTTACGCTATTGATCAAAGGTTTTGCTTACGTAAGTCTTAAGCTATACAATATATGAAACTATTAGCGACAAGTGAAAATCACCTCAAGTAATGAAAATATATCCTTTAAATAGATGATAGAATCTTCATAACAATTAAAGTGCTTGAACATTGCAATATCATGCTATATAAGAACTCTTTTCATAGTCTTGATTTGACTTTTCTACTTTTTGGTTACGAATGATTCGTTTATAGAATCTAAATGATTTTTTAACATCCATTTCTTTGTCATTACATTTTTTATTGGCTTTTACAGTCACAAAAAGTTAATTGATCATGCTTTTCCATTTTGGAATTTTATTTTGAGAGTGACGCTAAATATTTTCTGTAATAGCATTTATGAGTAGTCTTTCTAATAATATAATAAAAATATAAAAATATTCCTCTATTGTTCACACCATCATTCTTTTCTGCTTTCTTAAGTTCGCGTTTTTAATTACATTCTTATTTTAATCCGAAATTTTTTCTAGTTTGCAGATAGCAGACAATTTGGTATAAATTTCCAGAACATATTTAATTGATTTTGTATTAATGGAGTTACTATCTGAGACTTATAGTTTTCTTAGTACTTTTACTATTTTTTCAATTTAGTGTTCATCAACGTATGCCTCATATATCACGTGAAAGAGAGTTAGCATACACAATAAAGGGTCTGATCGCACATTACTTAATAAATGCCAGCACGACTCTTATCACTGTTCTCTCCAAATTGTCACATAGCCTTGTATCATCTTTTGGATAGCTAAACTAATTCGTGCTTAGTGAAAAAATATCTGCAACGAAACCTTCCACATGGATATATAATATATAATATAATTATATGTTTGGAACTCGCCATATAGATGTTAGATGTTACTTCTGGCAATTGAAGTGGGCAATTGAAAAATGCTCCCTTGTCTTGATAAACAAAAATCACGCTCTAGAAGACTTCAATGATGACGCTATGGTGTCGAAGCTTGGAAGATAAATGGTTCCGTATGCTTTGATAAGCATCGCATCAGATGAAATAATGTACGGTAGGTGCTATGCTACGACATTAACAAATTAAATGCATCAAAACTCAGTGTCTTCGTTGGCTTGGTCATGCAAATGCTTTGCTCAGAAAGGTATTTGACTTCGTGAAAAATCGCAGGTAGAAAACACAATAGAGAGCATCTTCGATAGAAGAACCAGGTGTTCAATAATATAAAGCACTTAGTACTACTAAGTAGCAATAGCTAGCCTCTGATTTGGCTAACGCATTACCACGCTTGACCTTGCAGATATTTGTGATTGGTACCTATAGTTATTTTATCTTAATGAAGTTAATAATTGTTGATGAAGTTAATAATTGAAAACTTAAAACTTTTTTCTGACTAATAATGCAGTTAGAGGTTTGCTTAATTTGACATTACAAAATACATTTTCATTTTTGTAATCATTTTCATTTCTTTAATAATAATAACAACACATTTTGCTCTGATTTTATTGTAAAAATAATATTCCAAGCATATCATCCCGTGTTGATAGTGTTAATTCGCCACTTGAACTGTTTTGTAGGGTTACGCAAAGAATCGTATTTATCCTTCACCTCTCGACACTTTAAAAACGAACATCCTTCAAATTTACGGTAGAGCTACTGTCAGCTTTTTATCGACAAATTATTAAAAATTTCTATAATGGTTTTTATATGTTTTTTAGTCCGACTATAAGTCACTTGTTGTTATTCTATATTTCGACTCTCCTTGAGAGAGTCTATATTGCAATATAGAGAATAAATTTATGTTAGATCGTGATCCTGATGATGACTCTCAAGGAGAGTTGAAATATTGAATATATTTAAAAATATTAAACAAGCGCTGAATTATTAAACAAAAAGTGACCTATTGCCGGATAAAAAATATATAAAAATCATTATTGAAAAAACAGGTGGATAAATAAATTCAAAATTTTAAAAGTTATCTTTATAAGATCCATTGCCGTGATATATCCCATGGAGTACATTTGAAAGATACTATATTTCATACCTCACGGTAAGGTCCAAACAATATATTGAATTAAAGTTTCAATCCTTATCACAGGTGTATTTTATTTACACTTACTTCTGGAACCAAAAAATGAAAAAATTTATATTATTTAAAAATATATATTTTTTACGTGTATTTGTAGTATTCAATTAAGATTATTTAATTTAATAACTGATAATATAATTATATTGTTTAACGTTTTTTATGTGTTAAGTTATAAATAAACGGTCAGAATTATTTATGATAATAACTTATAACCAAATTATTCACCACATCTCCGTACTTCCCACCTTTCGATAAAACTACACTGAGAAAAAATGTCAAAAGTAAAGTTGAGTAAATTCATTACTTAAGTACTGTGCAGAATTAAACAGCAGTCCTGGGTACTGTATTTCATATAATTAGACAAATTAAAAGCTAGACAAATTATAAATCTTTTTCATATACTAATCTTGTATTACATTCACACCACAGACTTTCAAATTATATTTTCATGATGTCAAGATCCATAAACACCTTTTAACTTTAACTTTAACATTAGCTTTAATGTAAAACTTTAATTTTAATCACAGAAAGGGGATTCCATTGTATTGGTTTTTATTATGACGAAATTACACGCAAATTAAAAAATTCGTAGATGAAAAAGTATTAGATTTTATCACACATCATTAGAATAAATTTAATTAGTTTTAACAGTTATTTGTTTCAATTGCTTTCTACCTATAATTATATTTTATTATATATTTTAAATTTAACCTAGAATAATTTTTTTAAGTTGTACTACTGAAAAAAAATGCACAGCGCTCTCTACTGTTGAATAGTAATAGAAGGAATTATTGCTTTAAATAAGGTGAACTTTAAATAAAACTTTTTTTTTGCTTGTGCACTATAACGGAAGGTAAAATTTTAATTCAAACTAAATATAATATAAATGTCAAAATAATCCTCAAAGGATGCAGTGACAAGTTTCCAACCCATTTTAAAAAATCCAAAAATATAATATAATCATTTTATTGAATATTGCTTTCTCGGTACGAAGCTTTTGTTTGTTTACATTTTATATATAAAACATATGTCAAATGTCGGTAATTCCCATTTGACGAATTTATTTTTGAAGTTTGCATTTGACATTTTTCGCTTTAAATCAATTGATTTTGATTTATTTTTATAAAAGCTCTTTGTATGGAAAACCAACTTTATTAGTGGCCTTCATAATTTAAACCATTTAAATGGAACACCGTAAACGTGCTTTTAATTTAGTGTTATGATTTAAATGCAAAAACAATTAAACATTTCATTTTAATTATATTATAATAACTGACTTTTATTACAAAATATCTTTATCTTGTATCTGATATGTATTTTGACTTAAAATACGTAAGAGAAACTCATATTAATTTTACTTATATATTTTATTTTTATTCTTTGGATAATTATAGATATATAAAATTCAGAAATTTATAAAGCAAGATAAGGTTTTAATCTACATAAATTTAAATAAAATTGCAGAAAGCTTAAACAACTTAATTTAGTCTTAAAATAATTGACACCGATTTGATTCTATAAGAAAAAACATATATAATTTTTTGTTTCTATGAATACATAATATTGCTACTTTTTACAATTGCCATCAATGTTATAACACATAAATAAAAAACTGTAATAATAAAAACTATAAATTCTGTTTTACACATAAATGAAATTAGTAAAATAAACCTAATCTATTTAAAACATATCAGAATATATGTTGACTACTTTATGCCCAACTAAAATTTGCTATACACAATTACTTATTCTTCTATGTTTCTCTACTTTTCTACGTTAATGAAATGTTTGACATTGTCAGCTGTTTGAGAATATATTTTCGATGAACGAATATTGTTTCCGTCATATTTTCGCCTACATTGTGATTTTCTTCTACCACGAATATACTTTTTTTAAATAAAACACTAATACTTTATAATAAGTTTTATTGAAAATATAAATTATAAATATTAAATATGTTAACTAATTTAGTAAAAAAATTATTGAGACAGTTATAAAGAAACTTAAAAAAAATTCTGTGATCTCTGAGCTTTTGTGTGTTTCACTAACAATAATAATAACAAGTTAATATTTTGTCATAACCGTTTTGTACAAAAACAGAATTAAGTATAAAATAGTTTCGTAATAATAATGTCCTTCGATGCAACCGCGCTACCTACTGAACTTCTCGTTGCACCGCAACCACTCATTGGTTTCTGTGGTTTGGATGTAACACGAAATAGTGTACATAAATCAATTTGGGATGCATTCAGCACTAATCGTAAAGCCGATAGGTAAACACATTATTTTAAACAAATTATAAACAAAAATAAATGATTTTTTTATTTGAAAATTGAATAGAGCTTCGGTGCAGTTCAAAGTGTTACCTGCTAACTATGATTTTCCAGTGGCAAAGCCGAAACGTGCTTCCTATGAATGGTATCATCCGAAAGGCATACTCAAACGTAATTGGATGTTAAAACATTTACACGTGCTGCCTTCAGTTGTGGTACTCTTTCAAGACATAGAATGGAATGATGCACAATGGACAGAGAAGCAAGTACAATGTGCCGCCACTATACAGGGACTTAAAAATTCATTACAAGTAATTATATAAATATATATATAGAAATAACTTATTAATAGCATAATATAATTATCAGGAACGTAATACTCGACTTTGTTTGGTGCTATTACAAAAGGCTGCGCCTCTACCTCCTGGTGAAGATCTCTTAGCATCCGAACGTGCTGCAAGCCTGACAACTGCATGTGGCATCAACAGTAAAATGTTGTTTATACTGCCGCATACAGAACATTTATTAGGTAAACAATTTTTAAGAATAATATTGTTTTAAGTTTGTATAATATCCATTATATTATTCACATATATATTTTGTATTTATAAAGAATATTAAACTTATTTTAATCTTTTTATACCCTATAGGCTACACACTAAGACTTGAGTCTGCTTTCGTAGATATGGCTCAAGCATACTATACACTAATGTCCAAACGTATACGAACTCATAGGGATCAACTGACAGCAGCGCACGTGACGCTAAAAATTCGTCATCAATTCAAGCTAGGATTTGTGGCAGAAATGCGACAGGATTTCAGCACTGCACTTAAGTAGGTTCCTAAATCATTTATAAAATTTATACCAGTGGTTATAATTTATTTTTACATTTTTACAGGCATTATACTCAATCATATGCGGGTCTAGATGAAATTCGAATTACTGATACAAATTGTCTTGAAATAAAAACGGTAGCTGGTTTCCTTAATTATAAAATATGTAGGCTGATGTTTAAACTTAAAGTACCAAGAGATGCAATAAATCATTTTATAAGTCATATAGATAAATATAAAAATCGTGTGGGTTTTAAGGATTTATTATTCGAGCACTATGCGTGGCTCAGTACACAGTAAGTAATACAAATTCATCGTTAAAAATTTTATTGTACATTTTCTTTAAGGCATAGTGTATTTGCTGATCTTTTTTGTGAAGCTGTAAAGAATGGTTTACCAGCTTTACAAACACAGCATCCTGGCATATACTTTCAAAAAGCAGCTGAATATATAATTAAGCGAAAGGAAGCCTTTTTTCAAAGTAGCGGTAGGTTTTTTTATATCTCATAAAACAGTGTGTAAAATGCTTATTAATCCCTAATGCTTTTAGCAATTCTACTTAGTCCTACGGAGCCAATGAGTCCTACAACATTACAAAACAATAATACAATGAATTTATATACAGAATTTTTTGGAATTCGCGCTGTCAAAACTGGCGAACCCGCTTCTGAACAACAAACTATTATGTTAATACGTGAAAATGAAAAATTATTTAATCATTCGGTAAACAGAAATATATAATAATGAATAATTTTTATAAAAACTTTAAAATAATATTATATTTTTTAGAATGCCATTATTAATTTACTTGGTCAGGCAATGGGACAATTTAAAATTTATAAATGTTTAAGGTTTCGTAAAAAACTTGCTATTGATATGGCGGAGGAATATTTTAAAAGTGGTGATCATGCCAAAGCCTTGACGTGCGTATAATATATTTTTATTCAAAACACATTATCACTACGTCACAAAAAGCGTTTCTATTATTTAATTTGGGCAACAACTGTTTTTATTTTTCCACTCAATATTTATTTTATATTTAGCAAGTATATTTAACGTAATGATTTGCTATAATTTGTTGAATTAATATTCATAATTTTTATATTTTTATATAGTTTATATAAAATATTTATATATTTATGTGTACATAAGAATATCAACATAAAATTATATATATTATATTTATAGTTTATATGAAATATTTATATATTTATATGTGTACATAAGAATATTAGCATAAAATTATTAACAATAATTTTGGAATTATTCATATGTTTAAACATTGATAAGCCTGTTATTTTATGCCCTTGATCTATTTAATATTCAAATATCAGATGAGTCTATAATTATTGTTTAGCATATTTTGAATAATGACTTATTATTGATTTATCATATATAAATGTTTATATTTGTTATTTAACAAAAAAGTTTTTTTTTTAGACTCTACTCATTAATGTTACCTGATTATCGCTCAGATAAATGGTCATCTATATTTTCGGATGTTTTAATAAAAACTCTTCGCTGTGCGTTAATAACAGCATCAATTGCTGATTATGTATTATGTAGCATTGAGGCTTTATCTCTGAAGATTCGTTCCGAACAAAAAGAACGAATTGCGGTATTAGAAAATCTTTGGAAAGTTTTTCAGGTAAATACAGAAGAACATATTACATTACTCTACTATAATTAATTAATTTTATATTAAGAGTGTGCCGCCAATGCCTCAATCACAAATAGCACCAGAAGTAAGAGATTTGTGGGAAAATACATTTACAACTATCAAATCACCAATACCTATCGATTTGGATAAACTAACCGAAATATTTGAAATGTGTACGACATTTGATGGTGCAGAATTAAAAACCAATGAAGAAGTCCGGGTACATCTGATAGTCAGGTAAGTGTATATAAGTGCATATATATAATTTTGAGTATAATTCTATAAGGCTTTTCGAATAAGTTGAATATTTTAAACCTATACTTAGCTACACAATAGTTACAAAAATTTATTCTGAATTTGAGTATTTTCATTACATAGCTACAGTGTTTTTATATTACTTATTAATTGAGAGTTATACTGAGTTTTTTATTAAATTTTGTTTTATTAAATTTAATTTTAAAACTATAAAATATAGATTTTATTAAATAAAATAAAATACGATTTTCTAAAATAAAATCTATTTTTTATATAAATATAAAACTTTGATATGGAATGTACCCATTCCTACATGATTCGATAAAACTTGAGATGTAACTATAGTATAATAGTATAACTTTAGTAAATGTAGTATATAATACAATTTAATTGGATCAATAATGATCCCATTTTTAAGTATTATAAGTTGATTACAGTTAATGAAGCGCACTATGGTATTATTTACATTTTATTGTTATATTAATATAAATATTCGTTCTTATATGTGTTATTATAAACATTATTTTAATAAAAATTTTAAATAATACTTTCTAACATATTATATTTTTCTATTATAGACTACTCACAGATGTACCAATCAAAATTCGAAGGTTTTCTGTACTACTCTCTGATGGCACAAACAATTTTAAATTGCAAACATCACAATATAGTACGTTTTCTCAACTTTCGGATATGCGTGAATATTTTATAAATAAATCTACAACAAGTCCAAAAGTTTTACAATTCGAAAACGATCTAAAACTACAACCAAATATGTACTATCATTTTTTGTACACAACAGAAGCTCAACAATTCTTAGAAAATACGCAGTTACGTGTAACTCGTATAGAAACTGAAATGGGTACAGATAAAATATTCGCTTTATTGACCAAAAATGCTGCATTCACGATCAATGCATTTCGATATCATCGACGGACCAAAGACCTCGATGACAATATTGTCATTAATCCAATATGTTATATTGCTCCTACGTATGTACAATATAAATTGTATCTTTATTTATTATTAAATAAATTACATTTTTTTTTTTATTTTACTTTTGTGTAGATTCCATTTAGTCACGCAAACTAACCTTGACAATAAAACGATGTTAGTCAATGAGTATCATTCCGTGATCACAACTGTAAGCAATCCGTTCAATGTATTTTTACAAAATGTGGGTTTTAATATAAGTGTACCGAGTCATTTACGAAATAAAGGTAAGTTTTTTAAATATGAAATAAAATAATAAAATACATAATAAAATTACTCGTTGTGATTTTATATGAATTATTTGAAATTATATTTTTTAAATAATATACTGAATTTATAATATGTTTAGTTTACAGAAATTGAAATATTATTTTTCTAACATTGAAAAGAATCATCCCTATAATTTATTAATTGTTTAATTAATGACCTTAGTTGAGCAATTTAAAATTAATTAAAAACTTTTTATATAAAAATAATTTACTCATTTCATATATTTATGTACTGTTATCTATAATCTCACCAACAAAAATAAAATTCACACTCTATATCCGGTTTAAATTAAACTTGAATAAATATTAAAATTCTTGCGCTAAATATTAGCAACTATAAACTGACAATAATTCTGTTTGAGTACCTCAATTAAATATTCAATATTTTGGTAAACAGATTTGTCTCAAATCTATAATAATTTCATTTTGCAATAAATTAATTAATTTTTTTTTTCTTTCATTTCATATTATTTTAATTTATTTCACATTATTTCAATTTATTTCATATTCTTTTGTATAAATCCTCGTACAACATTAACGTTTGTATATATACCAGGATATGCTCGATTTGCACAGCCAATACCCCAAGAGGTTATGCCACATAGTTCGCCATTATAAACCAGTGGGCCGCCAGAATCACCCTGACATGTATCTCTACCTTTCCAACGTGCACACATCATAGATTTTGACAATACTGCTTGTCTTCTATATCTCTTAGTACATCTGCTTTTACTTATAATTTTTAGAGTTGCAGTCTTTACTTGATTCGATGTCCTTGAAGTACCCGATTTCGTTACACCCCAACCGGACACTTGAACACTTCTTCCAACATTTACACCGCCCGAACATAAATTTATTGTTCCAATATTTTCGCCCGTTAATGGGCTGCCCAATTTTAAAACTGCCACATCATTTCTCATTCTTGTCATAGTAAACGATTTTGGTATAGCAGCTTTAATAATTTTTCTTGTCACACTACCTCTATCAAGATACGAACTTCCGGCGTGTACAGTAAATCGCCGTAATGCCACGCCTTTCACACAATGTGCTGCCGATACCACAAATTGTGGTTTCACAAGTGCTCCTCCACATACAAATCTACCATCTTTCCGTAGATTTACTAAATATTTCATATTAGCAATTGTTGTTTTCCGACCACCGATAATTTTTGCTCGGTTTGAAATATTTGCCGTAGCATTTCGGCTAACTTTCGCGGCGAATATTTGTCTCTCACCGATTAAAACTATGCATAAAACGATTAAAAGTGAAGTCCTAATGAAATTCATTTCCAGACACGCGAGTTTGTCAACTCTTTCACAGTTTTAAATAAAATAATAATTTTTTAATTATTTTTCTAATTTAATACAAATTTTATTTAAAAAATATTTGTACATATTTATTTTATTTCATAAAAGAAAATATAAAGAAGAAGTAAATATATAATATGTCATTAGTGCATGGCTTAGACCTCACTATTATTTATTTAATCAGTTGTTTAATAATAAATAAATACATAAAGTATTATTAACTCTAAAATTGTGAAAATAAATAAACAATATTTTTTAGATTTGCAAATTTAAATTTTACAAAAAGTGTATAATAAATAAATTGTATCAGCTTAGTCTTTATTAATAGCACATTTTATAAGAAAAGTCTTCGTTTTAATGTCAATAGATAATAAATGATATTTAATAAATATCTTTATATTTCGGTGATTTTCCTACATGTAGTAAAAACCCGATATTAAAAACGTAGTAGTATGAAAAAGTTGACATCTTCTTAGTATATATGGGATTGAACGATTATTGAAATCGTTTTGTTTTAATTATCTCAAGGTAATGAGATACTTTATCTAACCATATTTCAAACCTATACTACTTTATTGATCAATATTTAGTATTATTGTTAAGGGAAGTGTTTGTTTGTTAACAGAACCCAGTTTAAGTCTTTGCCTGGCGGAGCTACTATATTAGCCGTTAATAGTGAGTTCAGAAGAATTCATATTTATTTGTTTATATGTGACTTTAATCTTTTCGGTAGATACTTTATATCTACCTGTCGTAGCTAATTTTACTTTGCCCACACTCTATCCGATTCAACCCCTCTGGCACTATAATTTAACCAATAGTGTTAATTGCATTTCTATTGTTTATTTCTTTCTTAATTGTATTAAGTATAGACCTCTTTTTCTATATTGACATATGATTTAGTATTTGCACTTTTACTTACCATAAAAGTCTGAATATCATTCCTGATAACATGCTAAGTTTCCTCGATAATTTAATAGCGTTCCACATTAGTTTGAAATCATAAAAAGCCTCTTTGGTTGTTCGTTAGGTAAAAATAAAGTCAACTGCAAATAACTATGAATCAATAAATAAGGTTTATATGTTGCAGTAGAGTGTATTCCTATTTTTTTTTTTGCACTGGCTTGCCACTCCGAATTTTTTCTTCATGTTGTGTCGTCAATCAGATAATTAGCTAGTCTTAAAATTGTATTAAAATCTGTATATTATAGACATTCAAATTATTCAGTAATCCGTACACATCCTTCTCAAGCCTCGGTGATTTTATAATATTTGTGTGAATTCACCGAGAAATTCTTGAGGTCAGTTATAGATTCCGCAATAAGGTCCTATTTAAGTTACAACTAATCACCCCATACATTCAAAAAGAAGAAAGACATTTTCTTCGGAAAGTGAGAATTATTTCTACTTGACTGAGTAAAAGTACAATGACATGCTTGTGCTCTTAAACTTCCAGACTCTTGCTAACATAATACACTTGTAATCCTGAAAATTTTGTGTATATATTATTTTAGTCATGTTGACGTATACGTTTGTTCTATTGAAGAATTTAAAATCTGTGATTCTAGAT